TGAAAAGCAAGAGCCAAAGACAGAGGCCTGATGATGATGAATGAGACTTCATCGAAACGTTGCCTAGACACTTTGAATCTTACGCGGGAGAAAACCCGAACAACCAAAGATCCACATACAAATACCCGCGAGAACCTCAGAAAACACAATATATATATATTGGCAGCTGTACCACACTGCTGGCTCTATTTAAGTTGTCCACTTGGACTCCTAAATCCCTCTAGGTTGCTGTTGAGCCACATGTCACCTATCCTACACTTGTGCATTTGGCTTTTCTTGGCTAAGTATAAAATCTTTTTTTTTCCTCACCACTGAATTACATTTTGTAATTGTGTTCAAGTCTATCAAAATCCTTCTAGATCTTGAGTTTTCTAAAGTGTTGGCTATTCTCCTCCCCAGCTTAGTGTCATCTGCAAAGTTGAAGAGTTCCTCTTCTATTCCCTCATTTAAATTGTTTATGAAGATATTGAAGAGTACTGTGCCTAAAACAGAACTTTGGGATTTCCCACTGCATACTTGACCTCCATGTAAATGCAGTTCCATTAAAGACTGTACATTGAGTGCAGTTGTTCTGTAAGTTACAAATCTATCTGGTGGTGATGCTGTCTAACCCATATTTATCTATCTTGACAAGTAGTAAGTTATGGTCTATTTTATCAAATGCCTTATTGAGGTCCATGTAAATTATGTCCACAGCATTTTCCTGGTCCAATAATTTAGTCACTTTGCCAAAGAATTTAAAACAAAAGTAAAATGATTGAGTCTGCCTACTTGGGAGGGCACAGGGGTTGTAAAGAGGTTTGCAGCGCCACACTTGAACTGTAAATTAAATTACTCCTGTCCTAAACCATGTGTAATGGTCTACTTTTTGCAATTGGCTGGACTCAAATTACATGCTAAACTAATAGCCTCCCACCACCAAAAAAAGTACATCACAACTAAGCCTAGCTTATGAACTCAGTGGCACTCTGCATCAAATATCAGTGACAGCAACTGGGAAATCTGAAATGATCTCCATGTTTAAATAGACAATTAAGAAAAAGAAAAAAAATGAAATTATTGAAATGTTAATTCCTTAACAGGTCCTCCCTGCTCCTAAAGTAAAGATGAAAAATAACCATATTTACAGTAACAATGGTTACGGAGTGACAATTATGAAGCCTTCTGAACAGCTGGGCACTACAGCAGAAGAAACAATGGAAAGTGCTGCGGCAGGAGATGGAGAAGATTCTGTTTCTAAACTGATGCAGGACCTGACCCTTCAGATAAATGCAAATACACTGGAAGACATTAAAGGCGTCAGCATGGTTAACTGAAGCTGCAGGGTCTCATGGTTAAGCTATGTCCAGTAGCACAAGATAAAAGTTTATATTAAAAAACATTACTGTATAACAAATACTGTTAAAACAGCGGCTTTATAAACATTTCATAGGTAAAGAGAAAGCTGAAAAGTGGTATGAATGCATTTATTTTTTATCTACTAACTTCCTGTATCAGTCATTTAATAAAGGATTGAATTTTATATGTACCCTTCCATCATATTCATATATGTTGTTACTTGTAATCTTTCAAAACTAGGATAGATAGGCTTTAGGAAAAAGTTAAAATTAATTCATCATTGAATCTACTATGCTTATCAATTTTATTTTTACGACATTAGAATTAGCAATATTAGATACCAGGACAAATAGAAATTTTCTTTTACCAGTCTCCATAAAACTTCATATTAATTTTAAAAAATAAGGGAGAAACTACATCATTAGAAATATGCAAATAATTTGTAAAGCTGCAACAAGGCCTTCTCTATATTATAGACTAGGGTATCGTCCATTGTAGATACAAAGGTAGCTCAAAAAATCAGACTTAAAATCTGTCATTTTTTACCAAATTGGAGAGGAATTGAATGGGATCTTATTTTTAATATTATTTTGAAGGAAGAGAGGATGCTTAACAGATTTATAGATGACACAATATTTAGTGGGATAGCTAATGTCTTAGTTCTTAAAAATCTACAATACTGTAACATTAAAAAAAGATTATATATTCTAGTAAATCTTAACTTCCTACACAGCTGCAGTTCTTTGAGCTTTACATAGCAATACTGGTAGGTTTGGAACCATTCTCAGGTATAATAAGGTAGAAGTTGATGGCAATAAATTCAATCTTTGTGCTGTCACATGTTACATCAAATAAATTCAATTTGTGAGGGCCCTAAAGGCCAAACCCTAATAAACATGCAGCAGATGCATTTTACTGTTTTTACTGCTGGATTTTTCTCTACCCATTTTCATTTTTGCTAACCACTCTGAATGCTCATCTGAGAAGAAAACTAATGTATAAATTAAATCTCTACCTACCTCTAATACTTATTAGCCATAGTATGAGTTAATTAGTTCAATCACTTTGCTATAAAAGGGAGATAGAAATCAAATAAATATGGCATGTAATTACATATATAGGATCACAAAATAGTGGCTATTTGAGGAAAAATATGCCATTTTCAGAGATGAGGAAATGAAATTTCGGGAAGTCAGTGGCACTTCAGTGCTACTAGCTGCTGCTGTGGTCACATGATCTTCATTTACAATGTTTCAGGACTTTCCAAACCAGTCTTGCAATCTCATTTCTCCCCACCCCCCAGCAGAAGCCATTCACCTAAGGAAGGGAAGGGGTGGAGGAACAGCGGGAGAAAGAAACTCCATACACCTTTACTGTCTCATTTCCCCCCCGCCATGTTCTAACCCGAGCTCACCATCCGTGTGCTTTCCCCAATACATGCAGCACCTTTTCTGCGCCCCATGCATCCTTCCTGACTTGTGTTGCCCCATACCTGACCCACACCTCTTGCAGGTGTGGGTCCTGCACACTTTCCCCAACCCCTGAAGCTTGGGCACCGTCACATTCTTCCTGACCTGCGCTCCCCCTGCCCAATACCATCCCTGACTTGCACTGCACCTCTTTATACACCCTTCCCAGCCTGCCCACCCACCCCCATACATCAAGAAAAGGGGAAACACCCCAATGGCGCATGGATTATCTAGTCCAGCCTACCACATTGAATAATGATCTGGAATCCTGGAAAACACTTCAAAGACATTCAGCAATTTTTGTTGGTCCACATAGCCACAGACTGATTTAAAGCAGTACTACTATTCTTGAGGCTTCTCACGCTGGCTATTGGAAAGTTTGGATAACCTGTCTAAGGACTTTTTCAATCAGATAGGACTGATTCCATGACAATTTTCACATCATGTCCTATCATTCTATTTAGTAATGGGTATAGTATCAGCAAGTTTCTAATCAATTGGGACCCACTTTTTTTCTATTCTTTTGGGAATAGCCAGTAAATACAATCATTACAGTGCTTGCAAATTAACCATTAAATGACTGGAATTAGGCAAGAATGTAACTAAACTAAGGGTCTTCAGGCTACTTCTGCCGATTGCTGGCAGTTTGCAGTTTGGCAGTTCAAATCTCATCAGGCTCAAGATTGACTCACCCTTCCATCCTTCCGAGGTCGGTTAAACGAGGACCCAGATTGTTGGGGGCAATAGGCTGACTCTGTAAACCACTTGGAGAGGGCTGTAAAGCAGCGTGAAGTGGTATATAAATCTAAATGCTACGGCTGAACAGTAGTAGTATACTCCAAAACCTTACAAAGTGTTTTAGTCGTGCCTATTTGGATGTAGTGGTTAAGGCATCAAGTTAGAAACTAGAAGACTCTGCAAGAGGTGCTGCTTGGGTCTGAAAGGGTGTACAAACGGTCAGTACAAGCGCAGCGGGGCAAGAGGAGGGTGTGCAGGTGTGGGGGCCACATCCCAGTGACTTGTGATCTTCCCGGCCACTTACCCTGTTGACTTTCTGAGGAAACCAGCATGGGAGGTGATCAATGGCAATCAAAGGGTCATAAAGCACTTGGCAGTAGTTATTATAAATGCAAACAGGTCGCCAAGCATCCAGACTGCAATCCCATGACCATGGGGGTACTGGGATGCCAGGAACTCCAAGGGCTGTCATACCCGCCCTTCATTCAGTATTGTAACTTCAGTTGCTGAACAAATGGTCCTAAGCCAAAGAATGTCCGTAGCTGACGCTAAACTCTCCAGTTAGAAAAGGATACATAATTACAGTGGAACCTCAGGTCACAAACGCTTCTGTTTGTGACCAAATTGGGTGGCGATCAAAAATTTGGGGAAATTGTTATTTCTGGTTGTGAACAGATCCTTGGATGGCGATCAAATACACCCACAGCAATTTCCCCTTCCGCACATGCGCAGAATTGTAGGCACATGCGTAGTCAGTCTCACTTCTGTTCACCACCAAATCCTGGAACGGATTATGGTTGTGACCCAAGGTTCCACCGTATATACTGAGTTGGCAGTTTAACTACATGGAAGGTATTCAAAAAATGACATCTATATTTTATGACATTTTTGGATTTGTATTATTTTTATTTTAGAAGTTGCTGTATGTGACAAACATTTGAACAGATAAAGAACTTTAAGCTGGAAATCCTAGTACCAAAGGCATCAATCAATTCAGTTTTTGATGATACAACTAACAAACAAAAATTCAAGCCTATATCTATGACTAATCCATTAAAAATTAACAACTTCATTTGGACCAAAATAAACATACAAAATTAAAGTAATGTGAATACTGCATATAAATATAATTTGAAATTAATATTCCAAAGTATGATGAACTCCTAAATCAGAAAGAGATCTGTATAACAAATAAAGAAATGTATGGAATAAAACAAGTTCATGCATACTTTTATTCTGGAATTACTAACATTTAAGGATGCCTATGTTTTGAATGTAGCCAAAATGATGCTTTAGAGTAGAACAGGCTATTGGCAACACCTTGACCCTAAACTTATTTTCCAGAGATCAGGTGCTTACCATGGAATCCAGGAAGGACTAAACTTCTTTACGCTCCTTTTCAGCTTTAGATTCAATGTGCAACACACCTTCACTAGTATCTTGTCAGTAACCACTCCACCCTCCTCGAAATCCACCACCTCTGTTTCTTCCAGTTTGGTATCCTCCTCCTGAACCTTGAAAACCACTACCTCGAAATCCACCTCCACCCCCTGAATATCCTCTTCCCCCAGAAGCACCACGATAAGAATTATATCCACCACGATATCCGCCTCCATATCCACCTTGGTAGCCCCCCCTGTGGCCAGTTCCACTTCTTCCTCTGTAGCCACCTCCACTGTCATATCGAGCCATTTTAGGTGGACGAGGTCCGTCGCCAAACCTAGGAGTAAAAATTAAAATTCTTTGTGGTTGTCTAGAAAGATGAATAAGTGCAATCCTCCAAATATACCATTGTGTATGTATATTACCAAGAAACACTTACTTTACCTAAATAATTAGAAGTGTGAGAAAACTGCCTGTGTCTTCAAGACATCATTTTGATCATTTTAACTGTCAAAAATTCCTTATACTACTTGTATTTTAAAAAAGATATTTTATCCATGTGTACCTGAATAGTGTCCCATAATCACCCTATTTTAAAATTCACAATAAAGAAAAAAGAAACTAAAGACTGCTGCCAACTTATTTTAAACCCTTTTTGTTACACTTCTTTGTCAAAGCTAATATGGATTCCTGTGGATCCCATGTTTAATCATTATGTATCTGTCTATTTCAATTTTACACTCACTATAAAATGTGTTCAGTTGCAGGATCACAATGTACTTGTAAAATATATATTGTAAAATATATATTGTAAAATTAAAGGAGACTTCTTTCAAACCTCAGGAGAACATTATTAAAAGATAAGCATTCCATTATGATTCTAAGATAACAGCTCGAAACTAACCTCATATTGCCACCTGCTGCAAGGTTAATCCCAGCAGCCAAGGGTTTGGAGATTTCAGAAATTACGTTCAGCATCTGTTTGTTCACATGGTCTAACTCACTGATAATTTCTGGATTTTTTGTTACTTCTACTACAAGAGCTTCCATTGCTGCACGCAAAGAAATAATACAGGCAGCTGCATTGTGTGGCATCCTCAGTTTGATCCTAAAGCAAAGAAAGCAATTTAGCAAATGAAAATTACTTTTCCTATCTACTAAGTATCTTAGACTTCTATAAAGAGAATCCTAAAAGATACATCACAAGAGAACTTGGATGTCTTATACCAAAAACCGCACTACCCTGCATAAACAGTAGTTTCAATTGCAATGAAGAAAGGAAAAGAAACCAGAGCATAGTAGTGTATCTCTTTTTCAAGCAATAAAAAGTACATGTATTTAACAAGAACTACTAAATAAGGTATTATCCTACTTAAAACAAGAAAATTCTGAGTTCATTTTTCCTTATGAATTTCTTTTAAGTTATGAAACCAACTATTAAGTTTTGCAATCCCCACCTTGCCCACTCATAACACCTTTATTATGTAACGTCATACCAGTCATCTAGTGTAATAATCTCTCCATCAGA